TCTTTCCCTCGGGAACCGGGCTGGGGGGCTGGTGCTGCGACGCCGGGCCTGGAGTTCGGGACACACACCTGCCTGCCGTCTCGCCCCTGGGAAGCGGGCATTTGGTCCGGGCGCTCACACGGGCGAGCCTCGGGCTCCCCGCCTCGTGCCCGGTGTGGTCTCCTGACCCACACGGGTGGGGACATCCCCAGATGCCAGCCTCCCCGCCGTCTTTCCCGCAGTCTTGGCCCTGGCCTTGTCCGGGGCCTCCGCGGGATACGTGTGGGCTGGCGTTGTCCTCCGGGCGGGACTAGTGTCTGTGCCCAAGCCGCGGATGTGTGAGCTGGACAGAACACAGGAGCAGGCCAGGCGGACACCCCATTTGGCAGATGGGGAAAGTGAGGGTCTAGCAGGGGCTGTGGCTTCTCCCAGGCCCAGCCATTTGGCACATTCTGAGTTGACAAGCACTCCCGAGGCCGCCTTAGGCCGGGCTGTGTGCCAGGCCAGGGCGGGGGCACTGTCTTTGAGGACTTTGCGGAGTCACGGGCGAGCCGGGCCACCCAAACAGGTAATTAGGCAAGGGAGTGAATCCCTCCGTGCCTCAGTTTCCTCATCTGTAAAATGGGAGTAATAACCGGTGCCTCGCAGCGTTTTTGAGGACTGGACGAGGTAGCGGTTGTCAGGCGGAAGGCTCTGCGGGCAGGGCGCAGGGCCCTGGGTTCTAGTCTGGAGTCTCTGGCCCCGGGGATGGGCACGCAGGGCTCGAGGCCTCTGAGAGACCCTGTGGCCCCCGTGGACAAGCCGCAGGGGCCCCCCTGGGAGCACCAAGGCCCCTCCTGCCCCAGCTCAGCTGGCACCTGTACAAGCCCTCCTTTGACCCTCAGCACCGAGCCCAATGCCTGGGACCCTGTGGGGCTCCACCATGGGGGGCAGGCCCCAGCAGACCCAGCCCGACAGCAGGCAGCCTGGGCTGGGCACCCTGCCTGCCTGGGCGCTGCAGGGAAGCCTCACGTGGGGCAGGTCTCGCTGGGGCATGTCCCCCAGCCCGGGCCCAGGGCAAGTCCCCGTCTGCCACGGTGGGCAGAGCCTGGAACCAGGCCTGCTCCCAGGAGAATTGTGTTGGCTGAGCCGTCTCCAGGCTGGCACGTGAGGCTGTGGCCTGCAGGAGGGCTGGAGTGGCTGTGGGCCTGTGAGGTCCAGACAAGAGGGTCCCTGCTATCACCCCTCCCCAACCTCGGGGTCCCATCACCCTCGACCAGTGGAGCCCAAGGGCGTTGTGAGCCCACCAGCTCTGATACTGTGTCTCATCTGTCCTCTCATCCACTCCCTCAAGCAAGCTCTGGCCTTTGCACACGTCCTGGGACAAGGAGCTCACTTCCTCTCAAGACCCGGCCGATTTGGGGTCAGAGAGCGTACCCCCTACCCTGGTGCTGCCGTCCACCTCCCTGCGGCCCCTGTGCCACCGCAGGCCCTGCACAGACTGTACCTGCTGCCCCTGCCCTGCCTGAAACATCCCTCAGAGACTCAGACAGCGAGCTATTTTTCCCCAGGGGTCAGAGAAGACCCTGGGCCTCAGCACCGGGGAGTCCTGGCTGGTCCCACGTGAGAAAGCTGGGCCTGGAAAAGCTAGGTGTCTGCTCAGGGCCACACAGAGACCCCGTCCGTGGAGGGCAAGGCAGGGAGGAGCCCCCAGAAGTACCGGCTTTGGTGTCAGATGTGTGATCAGCGTCAGCAGGGGCCCGGGGCCCAGGGAGAGCCCAGAGGGGCCTGCAGGGGCCAGCTGGGTGAGCTCACGGGAGTGTGCAGGCACGTCCTTGGCAAGCCCCAGGCCACCCACCAGGTCACACTCCTGGCAGGGGTGGGGATAACCCTGGCTCCCTGGAGGGCCTGGGTGGGTTCTAGCCTGACTGTCCCCAGCTTGCTTTGTGGCCCAGCGCATGACCCCTACCCGCTTCTCTGGGTAAGGCTCCTCTAGGGGGTTCTCAGACCCAGGATGGGGCCCTGGTGCCGGCTTTGGCGGGTGGGAGGGCTGGATGTCTGTTCGGGTCAGCAGCGTTGGGCCCTGGTCTGCTGTGTTCCCCTTTGCTGCCCAGTGGGACGGGGAGGGGAGGGGAGAAGCGAGACTGAGGGCCAGGGCCTGCTGGCCACTGAGCCCGCTGACTACCGCACTCCCTGGCCCTGGGCTACGTGTGCCCCTTCCCTCCTCGTGCCTTGGCTCAGGCCAGGGCCCTTGCCCGCCAGGCCTGGGCATATCACCGCCCGTGCTGGGCAGTGGCTGGGCTGGGCTGGGGTAGATGTACTCTGACCTCTGGGGCCCCACCCTGAGCCAATCTGCAGGCTGAGGGCAGCTGTTGTGGCCCAGGTGTGGTCAGATGACAAGAAGAGCACATGTAGTGGTCTGGGGTGTGTCCAAGCCAGAAGGAGCGGTGGCAGCGAGGGAGCCTGTCCAGGGACCCAGGGGTGACCCCGGCGGGCGGCCCCAGCTTCTACCTTCCTCCCTGCCCCGGACACATCTGCTCCATCTCAGCATCCTGGGGTAGCGGGCGGAGGGCACGGTGCGGCCTGCCCGGCTCGGGAGTGCAACCCAGGAATAGAAACGGGGCACCTGGCCAAGGCCTGAGCCCTGGCAGAGGCGAGGGCTTCCCGGGGGCTGGGGGTGGGGGCAGGCGCTCAAATCTCAGGACGCGCACCCTTCCCACTCCTCCCGCGCTCCTGCTGCAGCTTCCCCTGCACAATCCTCGCCTGGGTTTTGTTTTCTGCGGTCTTGTGTTACGGAAACAGCAGCCCGCGAACTGTGCCTCTCTCCATTCCCTGCCGCCGGAGAGTCCAGCCTGCGCCACCCACTGGGCATCTCGTACCCTGAGCGTCGATCCTACGCCTGCAGCTTCAGGGCCAGGAGAGCCCAGTCCCGAGGCACCCGAAGAGGGTGGTGGGCGCGGGCGGGCCAGGCGTCCTGGCGAGGCTCCTGTCTCCCCAGCCACGTGCCCTGACGGCCCCGGTCTCCCTTCCTGCTCACAGGTGATCGCTGTGGTCATGGACATGTTCACCGATGTGGACATCTTCAAGGACCTGCTGGATGCCAGCTTCAAGAGGAAGGTGGCCGTGTACATCATCGTGGACGAGAGTAACGTCAAGCACTTCCTGCACATGTGTGAGCGGGCCCGCATGCATCTGGGGCACCTCAAGGTGAGCCGGCTCCTCACTCGGTTGGCTGACAAACACTTGGAGCACCTGCCTTGTCGGTCCGGATCTGGGAACCTAGAGTTCAGTGTCCTAGAGCCGCCCACCAAGTGGTCACACGGCCTCTGCTTCAGTGCCCCAGGGGACAGGACCCTACCTGTGACCAGGTGCTGAAGCCCACGTGAGGTGCTCCTTCACAGGTGTTTCAAAGCAGCCCATGCCGCAGTGGTTATGTCTTTGCTCACCTCCGGTGATAGGGTGCTCAACCCCCTGGCTCTGGCAGCAAGCCCCAGCTGGACAGCTCCAACTCCCAGGAAGTCCTTTCTTGGTTTTAAACCAGAATCTGTTTCTGTATAATGTCCACACACGGGCTTTAGGATCCGGCTCCAACAGAGGAAGCTCCCTTGGGCTGAGTTCAGGGAGGGCTTCTTTGGTGGCTGCAGAGTCGAAATGGACTTGAGGAGTGAGCAGACTAGAAAAGGCCTTCCAGGGAGGGACACTGGGGACAGAGGTGGAGTTGTCAGGTTGGGCTTGGGTTCTCAGCATTGTTTTGCTGTGTGTCCTAGAGCACGTCCCCTCCCCTCTCTGGACTCCGGGATCTCACTGGTCCAACAGAGGGGCCGATGACCCGTGTGACTGGGCTCTTCTGCTCAGACACCCTGGCATTTGGTGCCTTGCTCGGGAGTGGAGGGAACCCTCCTTCCGCCCAGCCATTGCTTGTTACCTACTGTGTGCAGCTCGCGCCCCAGAGTACAGATCAGTATATGCGTAACGACAGATCAGTATATGCGTAACGACAGATCAGTATATGCGTAACGACAGATCAGTATATACGTAACGACAGCTAACACTTCCACGGCTCCCGTCCCAGGCACGTGACATGGTTAACTTAGGTACCCTCAACGGCAGCCAGTGGGAGGAGGCAGCTGTCCCACTTTACAGATCAGGGGGATGCAGGCACTTGCCAGGTGTCACTCAATGTTAGTAAGCGAAGGATAAGGGGGGTGGGGGCCAGCACCGAGCCCTCAGGCTGAGCACAGGTCAGAATTCCTCTGCGCAACGCCAGCCTGGTTAATTAACAAGGGGCTGGGCTCCCGGGCCTGTAAGTTGTCAGCATTGTCAAGTGATGCCCAGCCCAGCTGAGACCTTTCAAGTGGGTGTGAGCTCTCTGCGCTGCGAGTCTCTGGCTGTTGGGACATTTTTATGTGGCCTCTCTGGTGGGTTGACCCCCAGCCCCATGCTCGCCCGCTGTGCTGCCCTGCCTGCCGTGTAACTAGCACCGAGAGCCAGCTCCCGGGGCAGACAGCTCAGGCCGGGAGGCGCAGAGTGTGGAAGAGGCATCTTTTCAAAGGTGACTGCAGGGGCCTCAGCCGTGTGGGCAGCAGATCACAGAAGCTCAGGCCTCTCCATCCAGCCCTCTGCCATGCTCAGGAAGAGGCTGACGGGCCCACTCCCCCTGAGCCCCTGCCCCATGCCCGGTGGGGACCCTGCACACCTCGCGTCCCTCTGCCCGCAGGCATCCCCCCGCATGTGGACGAAGAGGCAGGGAGGGGGCTTGTCTGTGCTGAGCGGGGATCCAAACCCTGCGTGGCCGCTCCAGAGGCCTCTTCTTAGTGGGGAGACCCTAGATGCCAGGCTCCTGGGAGGGTCTGGAGCTCCCGGGAAGGGGGGCAGGCAGGGCAGGCCATCCAGACCAGGTTTCCACAGGATACCCAGGAAAACTGAGGCCTGAGGGAGCCTGTGCCTTGCCCAGAGGCATTCCACCAAGTTGGGGCTGAACCTAAAAGCCAGTGATGGGAAGCTGGCACAGACGGGGCCACACACCCTTGGTGCCCAGTGCCCTTGGCTGAGGCCACATCTAACAGCAGGGCCGCACTGGTGCTGCCTGCACAGGCTTCCTGGCTGCCAACCCTCTGACGCTGGGCCTACCTCTCTGAGCCTCCAGGGCTTTGTGACCACAAGGACGCCTCACCAGGTTGTTTGAGGATGAAAGCAGAGGAGACAGTGGCTGTACGAGTGCTCTGAGCTAAGGAGAGGCACACGGTTGTGGCAATAACAAGAATTATAAACCCCGGGTCCTGGGCGGAGGGTGGAGGGCTCGAAATGAGGCTACAGCTCGGGGCATGGAGGGGGTTTCTGGCCCAGCCTGCCCTTCTCGCCACCTCCCTGCTCTGGGGAAGGTGGCAGGTCCGCAGGGTGACGTGCCCAGGAGCCGGATGCTGTGGGACGGCCAGGCATCTTCATGGGAAGGAATGTGTGACCCTGGCCACCTGATTCTCGCCTCCGAGCCCCCCCACTCCCAGCCTGGGCAGGTGGCCAGAGGCTCCTATGGGCCCAGTCCTGGCCAAGTGTCACCTTGCCTAGAGCCTGCCTCCCTGCCTGCAGGCAGGCTGGGCCCAGACCTGTCTTGGGAGCACTTCCTTTGTTGGTAATCCCTGGGCCCGCCCTCGGCGTCCACTGCCCCTGCCCAGCTCTGCAGCGACCTGCCTTCAGGTCATGTGGGCCCAGGGTGTAGGTTGTGCCTGGTGGGGTCATACTTGTGACCAAGGGGGTGCTGGGCGCCAGGAGCCAGGCCTCGGCCCCAGCTCTGCCCCTGCACTGTAACCTTAGGCAGAGACACTGAGGTTCTGGGCCTCAGCCTTCTTGTCTGAAAAATGGGAATATCGTCATTTATTTGGCAGGGCTGCCGTGAAGAGTCAAGGAGGCTATGTGGGGGCAGGGCACTCGGTCACGAACTCCCTTCCTATCTGCGGGTGGGGCAGCTGCAGCCCCTCCCGTGAACCCCCAGCCCTGGTCTGAGTGCCAGGGGGCTTCCCTTCCCTCCCTGAGCAGTGGTCTGGCTGGGGACCCCCCCAGTCTCCCCCTCCGGGCGGCCCCACAGCCTGAACCCCTGAGCTCACACAACACATTCTGGAAACAGCTGCAGTATCGCTTGGGTCCCCTCCCAGTTTCCAGGTGAGGCGGGAGGACAGAACCTCCCTGATGCAAGCTGTCCCGAGCGTCCGCACCTGCCGGCTCAGCTGGGCCCCGACTCCCCCAGGCAGGGAACATGGGAACGAGTGCCCATACTACACGCGGGAACGGGCCTTGAGAAGACGACCCAACCCTCTCATCGCAGGTCCCAGGGCAAGCCACACCTGGGTGTGACACTGGGTGCTGAGGGATGCCCAGGGCCGGTGGGAGCCAGGCCTCGAGGCTCACAGCTTAGCACGGGACCGGAGCTGTGAGATGCCTGGCTGATCGAAAAAGCTAGTCTGCTTTGTGCAGCTGAAGTGGAAAAGCCAGCAGCCACTTGGGCAAAGGCTGGACCCATTTCTGATGAACAAAGAAACCCCAGGCAGTGTGGCCCCGGGAAGGCGCCGGGTGAGGATTCCGGCTCCCGCTGGACAGGCCAGCACTGGCTCCGGTCTGGTGCCCGGGCCCCCTCCTCTCCCGACCTGCCTTCTCTGAGCCTGGCCTGGCTCTGTAATGGACTCAGGGCACTGCCTCTCCACATTTGGCAACGTCCAGAGATGTTTTTAATGGCCGTGACTACGAAGGTACTACTGACATCTGGTGGGTGGCGGCCAGGGATGCTGTTCAACGGCCTACAATGCACAGGACAGCCGCTAACAGAGAACCACCTGGCCCAGAACGTCACAGAGCCAAGTGGCCTGGCCCAGGGGGAGAGCCAGGAGCCCCCCCCAGCCCTGCCCCCAAGGCTGCTTCCCATCTCAGCTTCACAACAGCCCGGGGGAGGCCAGGGTGAGTGTTGGTCTCCCCATTACAGAGAGTGAAACAGGCCCTTTAGAAGAGAGCACAGATTGGCTGGCACACGGAGACACGGCTCTCTGTCCCTGACCTGGCCTGATCTTGCTGTCACCGCTCAGGCCTGCTAAGGATGGTCTCTGGGCCTCCTCACTCCCCCTCCGGCCCAGAAGGTCCCCTGGAGGGTGAAAGCGCCGCCAGGGTGCAGCAGCAGGCTGTCCTCAGTCCCAAGGGGCTGGACCCTGTCCACTGGGAGGCCCTGGGGCAGGTCACTCCTCTCCCCGAGCCGACTGACCACTGCATACGGCCGACAATCCTGGCCTCCCTGGGCCTGAGTCCACACCATTCCAGATGTTCTCCTGTCCACAGTGTCGGTCCCTCATTGGTCCCCCACCAGCCCCCCGAGAGGCAGGAATCACACCCCCGTCCCACTGCATGGCACAGCCCCCTCGTCCCCTCTAGTTTAGGGAGCAGCCGCTGAGTGCTGGGCCCCTTCCCGGCCCCTCCCCCGATGCACTGAGTCTTCACAGCAGCCCTGAAGCCGGGGGTGGGCAGGCCCATTTCACAGAGCAGAACCCCGAGGCGTGAGGAGGCCAGGTTGCGTCCATTTGCGCCAGGACTGGAGCCGTGTTTGACCAGAGCTCGAGAGCGACCCACCTGCTCCAGTAGGGGCCTGGGCTTGTCGCCATGGCTCCCACTAGCCCAGTGTGAGCACAGGAGGCCCCGTGGAGGTGTGGGGTGTGGTGCTGAGGCTAACCCAGCCCTCGCGCCCAGCACGGCCTGCCCTGTACACGCTTGGGGCAGATGCAGCTCTGCCATCCTCCCCGAACGTCCCCTCAGGGGCGATCGCTGCGCCCCTCACATGTGAGGAAATGAGGCTCCAGAGGGTCTGGGGACTCGCCCAGGGCACCCCACTTGTCCTCCCCATGCCTGCCACGTGCTCTGCTAGGGGCGTTCCAGGCTCAGAGACAATGCGGCTTTGTGGGATCCTCCAACTCCGCTCGCCCGAGACCTGGCTCCTGAGACGTTACCTCATCTGGGCCAGGCCCCACGGGGCGGTGTCACCCAGGAATAAACAGAAGCTGCAGAGCTGGGCTGCCGTCAGGCACAGGTGACAGGGGAAGGCCTCACAGGATCTTTGCTCACACTTCCGGCCCCCAAGCGTGCTGTGCATTCAGTACAGTCACAGACACTAATTGTCCTGGGCCTCAGCCAGCTTCCTGCTGTGCAGGCTGTGTGCAGACAGGCAGCCGGGGGAAGGGCGGGCAGGGGAGCCAGGCTGGGAGCAGAGGCTTATCTGCCTTCTGGGCCAGGCCCCACGGCCAGGCGGGCATCCATGGGACCTGCCCCTCACCCTCTGTGGGTACTGCCCTGAGGCTGCCCCGGCTGAAAGGTCTGGGACCTGTCACAGACAGGACAGGCGCAGGAGCACCGAGGGCTGTGGGCTGGAGCGGAGATGGCCTCCAGTTCTCTCTCTTCTCCCCTCTGCCCCTGCCCGGACTCAGGCCCACATCCCTCAGGTGCAGAAGCCCCTCCTGTCCTCTTCCTCTGCTCCCTGTGCGTTTCATGCACATTCCCCGCTGGATGCCGGGACTGGACGGCTCAGACGCCTCACTCCCTGCTCTAAGCCCTCTGTGGCTCCCTACTGCCCCCCGGGCCCCACCAGGCCCCTCAGCGGCCGTAGGGCCTTTCCTCCGCATCTGTCTGGGCCCGCTCTGCCAGCTCCTTTGCCCGCCCCCCTCCCCCGAAGTCCTCCCATGTCTGAATCAGGCCTTTGTAGTCCTGGGTCTGGGGTGCTGCGTCCTCTTCCCACCTGGCCCCGCTCTCCCTTGTCTTTCACACGTCAGCCCAGACGCCAGCCTTCCCAGGAGGCGCCCCACAGCTGGGGTCGTTACTTATCTGCTTCCCTCTCTCCTCCAACGAGGGATCTGTGTCACAGTCATGTCTGTGTCTGCGCTGGGGACCTCGGCAGGGGTCAGTGAACGAGTTAATAAGCTGGGGCCGGTGAGTGGGTGAGGGTCAGGGTTAGGAGATGTCGCAGAAGATGTAACAGATCAGCACCCCCCGCAGGCACAGACCCCTCTGAAGGAAGTGAGGCTCCCGTCACCGGGGCCTACAGGGGTTTCTGTCCTGGGCATGCGTCAGATTCACTGGGGCTTATGTTAAAAATGGAATTCCTGACCCCAGCCCCCCAGAGTTGAACCTGGGGCAGCTGCGAGCCTGCGTTTCTAACACACTGCCTGGGCGATGCTTGCACCCCCTGAGCCCAAGTCTGCTTCCTGCCCTGAGGGTCTACGTTGGGGTGCCCTCAGCCATCCCCTTGACTCTTGGGGGTCAGCCAGGCTTGCCCCGCCCGTCCTGGGGTCCCTCCACCGCAGGCTTTTCCCACCTGCCCCTCCCTCGGAACGTGAAGCTCTCCTGATGAAAGGGGAGCCAGCCCCTGGCCCACACACATCCACAGGCTTGTGCAGAGAGGGAGAGCCCTGATGCCCAGAGAAAGGCAGGAGGGGCCCAGCCTTGACACGGGCCGTGCTGGGTGTGCGTATGACGCCTGGGAGACCCCCGCCCCTCCTGGCTCTCGGCCCCCCTTCCGTGGTTTCTCAGGGCCTTTCTAGCCTGCTCCTGAGCCGACGGCGCCAGCACAGGGAGGAGGGATGTGGCCATTCCCTGAACTGCCCCTGGGTCCCAGGCAAGGGTCTGGCCCACGGGCAAGTAGGGGAGTTTGCCGGGATCCCTGCCCACAGTGCGCAGGGCTTAGGGGGAAAGAGAGACAGCGGTGCGGGGGAGACCGGGGGAGAGGCCCGGCTGGTTACCCGTCCTGGCGAGGCCACCGATATGCCCAAGTGCAAGACCCGGATTCCCTCAGGGCAGCCCCTCCCCCTCCCAAGCTGCACAGCCCCCCCGGCCATCAGGGGGACCTTCCTAAAACGTGTCTGCATCCCCCTCCTGCTCGGGACCCTGCAGCAGCGTTCTCCAAGCTGGCCCGCACATGGGGCCTGTCCGGCTGGGCTGCCCTGTGGACCCCCTTCAGGCCACACCGAGACCATCCTGCAGCCCTTCATCTCCAGCCCCCGCCCTCCTCCCACCCCTTCCCACCTCGGTGCGTCCCCACATGCACCGCCCCTTTCCCCAGGCCCATCGGCGATCCCCCGAATCCCTCCCTGAGCCCGGGCAGGGTGGTCGGTGCTGGGTTGTGTAACTCCGCCCCCTGTCCCCCGACACAGAATCTCAGGGTGCGGAGCAGCGGAGGGACCGAATTCTTCACGCGGTCGGCCACCAAGTTCAAGGGTGCCCTGGCCCAGAAGTTCATGTTCGTGGATGGAGACCGGGCCATCTGCGGCTCCTACAGGTGACTCTGGCTTTCTGGGGACCAGGGGAGGGGCGGCTCCAGTTCCCAGCTGGTTTCTGCCCTTAATCCTGCCTTGTGACACCCCGGTTATTCCAGTTCACTGGTCCCCAAACTGCTGAGGTGTGAGTGGGGCTGGGCATGCCTGCACACTGCCCACCCGTCTCGGAAGCAGGCAGAGCGAGGCTTTTATCCGTGAGACTGTTGTTCCTGCCTCGGGGTGTCAGCAGCCAGAGGTGGGCTGTGGGCCAGGCCGGCTGCGTCCTCCCAGGCCCACAGGGCGGTCACTCGGAGAGCTGCTCTCAGGCAGGGGCCAGGATGAGGATGGTGCGGTCTAGCTCTGCCAGCCCTGCCACGCAGGGGGCAGCAAGACAGGGGCCATCCACGGCCACACGGGGTGGGCACAAGTCACTGTGCCAACGACCCCCGCTGTCCAGGCTGCACACCCGCAAGGAGCTTGCCGCACAGGCGCTGCCTGAGGTCCCACACTGGGCCTGACGCTGGGGCTCGGGCCCCGTCGGGCCCCGTCGGGCCCCGTCCTTTGCCCCTGCTCGCTTCTCTTTAATCCCTTCTGTGGCCACGGTCTGATGGACGCTGGCCTGTGCGTGCACGGGGGCGGGGGGCTGGGGGCTGCTCCCTCTTCCCGGGCCCTGGGCCCTGCGCCTGACCAGGCTGCCGCCCTTTGTTGCAGCTTCACGTGGTCGGCTGCAAGGACGGACAGGAACGTGATCTCCGTGCTGTCGGGCCAGGTGGTGGAGATGTTCGACCGGCAGTTCCAGGAGCTGTACCTCACGTCACACGGCGTCAGCCTCAAGGACATCCCCATGGAGGAGGAGCCCGAGCCCGTCGTGCTGCACTCTGTGGTCCCACAGGTGCCCTCAGGCACCGTGGCCAAGAAGCTTGTCAACCCCAAGTACGCGCTGGTCAAGGCCAAGAGCGCTGACGAGGTCGCCAAGTTGTCCTCCGAGCATCAGGAGGCCTCCAGGGCCCCGGGGGCACGGAACACGGCCCTAGCGGAGCTGCCGGGAGACCTCCCCGAGCCGCCCCTGCCTGTCCACCCGGGGCTGCTCAACCTGGAACGGGCCAACATGTTTGAATACCTGCCCACGTGGGTGGAGCCGGACCCGGAACCTGGCAGCGACATCCTAGGCTACATCAACATCATCGACCCCAACATCTGGAACCCCCAGCCCAGCCAGATGAACCGCATCAAGATCCGGGACACATCACAGGCCGGGACCCAGCTGTGGAGGCAGAGCCAGGACTCCAGCTCCGCCCCCCAGCCCAGATCCCCCCAGGACGGGGTCCCAGCCGAGAACAGCCTCCCCCAGGGGGACACCGAGCCACGGCCTCCTGTGCCCAAGCCCCGCACAGTCCCGGTGGCAGACCTGCTTGCCCAGGAGGGCGGCGGTGTTGGCTGGGCCCTGGCAACCCCAGAGGGGCAGGCACCCCATAACCCGACGGACCACGGGCTCCCCAGGACGGCAGGCCCAGGCCATGCCCCGCTTCAGTACCAACTGTCTATGACCCAGGATGACCCCGACGGCGGGGGGCCGGTGGTCCCCAATGGGCTAGAGGGGGAGGAGGAGGAAGGCGACGACGACTACGTGACCCTCAGTGACCAGGACAGCCTCTCAGGCAGCTCCGGCCGTGGCCCTGGCCCCGAGCGGCCCTTGGTGGTCTCCTCATCCGTGTCAGATGAGTGTTTTGAGGTGATGGAGCGCTCGGCCGCCCTCCGGAGTTGCCACTCAGAGCAGGTGGCCAACGGGCCAGCCCAGCACCCCCGCCGACATCTGAGCGCTCCCCACATGACCCGTGGGACCTTTGGTGGACCCCTGGGCGGCTCCTCGTGGGCCCAGGGTCAGGAGAGAGAAGAGGCAGGCGCTCTGAGGATGCAGGCCCCACACCTGGCAGACAAGGAGGCACAGGTGGGTCGGGGCCCCTGCGCACCAGGGTCCTGGGAGCCCCTCCCCCACGCCTGAGCACCCAAAGGTGCCATCTGCTGGGCGGCCGCCTCCCCAGGTCATTACCCAGCATCCCATAAAGGCAACCTGAGCCAGCTACCAGGATCCGAAAGGAAACACACAACACACTCAGAGGTTTCAGGGGTGTGGTGTTACGTGGGTGGTCTGCTCCCTAGTTTGTGGATGAGGAGATGGCGGCAGCACAGAGATGTTCCTTCACACCCTGAGATCACACAGCAGTAGGTAGTCTTTGCCCGGACCTTATGTCAAGCCACCTCCGTGTCGATCCCTTTGACTGTGGCCCTGGGGACCACTCCCCTCCCCGCTCCCCCAGGCCGGGAAACAACTTGCCTCTGTCCTTGACCTCTCCTCCTGGTGACCTCTGCACCCTGCAGCCAGCCCAGCCCCCAGGGCCCATCCTACCTGGGAACAGCACGCGGCTGATCATGCCCGGCATGATGATCAGGCCCATGGGCAGCATCTTGAGGTAGCTGGCTAGGATGGAGCCCCCCTTGGCGTGGTTCAGGTCCCTGGCGGACAGTGACCGCTGCACGATGACCTGGGGGCAGGGGGAGGCAGTGAGCCCCAGCCTCCTCGGGATTTCTCCCCCGTGGGCCTCAGGGAGTGTGTGAGATAGGTGCTGTCCCACTAGCCCGAGACCGGCCTGAGACAACCGTGCTCACCCTGACACCCAACAGCATCCCTGCCAGTTGTCTGAGCACCTGGGGCCAAGGTTCTCTCCGGGGACTCAGTCTCCCTGTCTGTCGAGGAGGGAAGGTGTTGGTCCTGACCAGCCCGTCACCCTGGCAATTGTCAGGGCGGGAGGAGACCCTGGGCGGGTAGGTTATCAGGGACACCCCCCCCCC